TTCCCGTTTGGCTGCGTTCACTGCCAATGCCACCAGAAAATCGGCGATAGCAACACCGACAGCGCTAAAGACAGCCAGTGCGGTACCGACATCGCTCATTTACTTTGGCTCGCTTCGAGTCGGATTTAATTACTGGATTCGTCGCGGTACGCGCGGAAGCGCGGGACAGACGCGGAATGGCTGGGGAATTGCATTATGGTTCCGTCGCGAAACGTAAACGACGAAATTTATTTCGCTCGCGATACTCGGCTGTCTCGGTGCGCACAGATCGAAATGACGCTCTGTACGTGTAACGAAAGATTTATTCGGTTGCTTGCTTTAAATTTGTTTTTTGCTTAGGAAGAAGCAAACGTAGTTTTGAAACAGCGAACGTAGTTTCAGAATGATAGTCGTCATAATTATAATTTGATGCAAAAAGATCTCTGCAATATGGAGAATTGTGTTAATTTTATTTGTAATATTCACTGTGTATATACAATAAAGGAACAATAGATATCAGCACATTGACTTCAGTAGAGTTAGTTACATAATTATTTTTGCGGTTTGTTGTATCATGTTTTGTAGCAACATGTTATAATATATTTCGTCTCAGATATACAGTTTATGAAAAAGAATATATGCATATTGTAAAGTATCGTGTATAGTCTATTGTAAAATGCAAAATGCAGTCGAAACTGTTACCGGTACATATGTGTGGGGATATGAAAATATATTTGGAAACAAACTTTTTTATTTAGGATCTCAGAAATTAACGATGCGTAACAAAATGAACAAACGAAGCAATAGTGAAATTCAGGTGTGTTAATTGCGAGACACAATAGCTATTCTTGTCCACATTTTTTTTTAACTACTGGCCATTTACTACATTTACTTTCACATAAAGTTACCAACGATGCAGCTGTTGTCGATTTTCCAGATGTATTTGCTTTTAGCCTTTATTTTCGCTATACGAACTGAAAACGTTTCGGAGTAGGCAGTGTTGCGTCGTAGACGACGAGAAACAAAGCCGCGCAAGACAAAATACGAGAGAAAGAGTTAGGTACCGGAGAGTTTTCTTCGTAGCAAGTCCACGTATTTTCGAACAGAGAGTCGGGTGTAGTGACCGGAAGTTCGTCGCAACGGGTTCCTCGAGGGGCCATTCCGATGATGGATCGCGACTCTTGTGAACAAAGTTCAGTCTCGAGCTGCGCGCGGAAGAGAGACTCTAAGGAAGAAGTACTCTTTAAGGTATTACACGGCGTCGATTCACCACGATTTCGGGAACTTTGAGTCACCGGCAGAGACAGTCTTTGTTCTAACGCACTCTGAGATCTCTATACAGTATATCTTGAAATAGAAAACGAGAAATACTTTTCTGTCGTGCTATTATGTTAATTGTATAGTCATAATTACACTGTTAATTTCATTTTTGCTGCAGCCCTAACTATACATTTTTCTTTTTTCATCTTTATCAGTTTTTTGGCATTTATGTTGACATATATAGTCAAGAGTATTATTACTACGATTATTATCGCAGCAAAAAGAATTATGGAACACTTATTCATATTTATTTTACTTTTCAATTATGGTCACAAATTTTAAACACTTTTTTCTCAGTGTAGAATATAAAGGATGGTATTAAAAATTAATATCCAAATTTAATATTTTCACCAATCCTTAATTGAGTTATGTGCAAGCGTTCTATGAGTTATTAATTGAACGAAATGTAAATCTCAATCTTGATATATCGTTTACAATATCAGAGCTTGAGTGTGCTTTCTCGTTATCGTCGCGATAGATTTGAGAGGAGAATGACTGCGTTTCCGCGGATCAGTCGCCGGAGGAGGTGCCGGTCGGTGCGATAGGTCGGTATACGCTTCGTATCAGAAAATGATGATGCAGCTACGCCGTGTGATGAAAAATGGCGGGTTCGAGTGAAGTCACTGGAATGAAATGCATGGATTGGTTTAGCCTGGGGCTCCTGCCACGGAACTGGCATAGACAGCAAGTGATGGATTACCGAGCACGACCGTTCTGCGAGTTCCCTCGACGTGTTCGCGCTCTGAAGACTCTCCCCGTCTCCCTTGCCCTTATGTTTCGTACGTCACTCCGATGTATTCTACCAACACGTTCTCACACTCTCCCTTTCTCTCTGTCTCTCTCTCTCTCTCTCTCCCTTCATATAATCGTCAGGATTTTTCCTGCTTACGCGTTAAGGTTAGATACGCACGAATACCTATATATTTGAAAATTTCATCACGATATTTATCGTCACAGAAAAATTTATGAATGATAAATATATGTATATACACTGCCGGAAATTGAAGTCCCAACACCATGAAGAAGTTGTGCTAGATGAATGAAAGTTACACAGAATGTTTGTTTACATGAGTTATTATATTGATATCTATTACAAGGTCATAATTCGCAGGATACGAGTGTAGCGCCATATAAACATTAAGTATGTATATTCCGACTTAATACCCACTGTAATCATCTCTATGTTAGTATCACTGTGAAAGGCTGTGATTGGACGACGGCTGCGGGCTCATCCACAATCAACAATGACCATTGCCGATCTGACACTACAGGTGCAGCAGGCGTGGAATGCCATTCCACAAGATGACATCCGACTCCTCTACGATCGGATGCATGCACGTTTAGAGGCCTGCATTCAACATAGAAGCGACTACAGTGGGTATTAAGTCGGAATATACATATTTAATGTTTATATAGCGCTACACTCGTATCCTGCGAATTATGACCTTGTAATAGATATCAATATAATAACTCATGTAAACAAACATTCTGTGTAACTTTCATTCATCTAGCACAACTCCTTCATGGTGTTGGAATTTCAATTTCCGGCAGTGTATATAAACATATTATAAACAATAAACATATTAAATTTTAGTTAGAGTATTTTTAACATTATCCATTTTTTATGATAATCATCGATATTATAATTATTAGATTGATTAATTACCTTGTTAGTACTCTTTATAATAAGTCGGTGTTATATGTATAAATGTTTTATGATGAATTTTCTTGAACGACTCTTACTGCACGAGTATTACAGAATGATGTCTTCAGAATAATGTGTTCAGAATAACTGAGTCATATTGGAAGTGTTTGCATCATGACTTCCACCCATGGTGGAAAGATTACATGGTGTGCTTAGAGTCCTAGATAACAGAGATACGACATTGAGCGGGTTGGGCTAGGTAACCTATTATATGCAGCCTATTCACCGAGCGATTGGTTCTTACTTACGGATCCATAAGTATTGTACAAAGGATAACCAATCGCACGGTGAGTAGGCTGCATCCTGAAACCCGAAAAAGTGTTGCAACTTTTTATAATCCATAAGTGTACAACATCCGAGAGTTATCGGTATCGTTAAGTAGCGACAGTCACTGAAAACTGCGTTTTTTTCCCAGAATCAACCTTGACCAGACCTTGTCATTGGCTGTCGTTAGTTATCGATACCGACAGTAATCGATTATCTCTAAAAAATTTTCATAAACTGACAAGGAAAGATACGGAAGTACTCTGATTTTGACGAGTTTGTAATATGTTATTCTCTAGATAAATATAAGCGACACGTATTTCTTTATATGCGCCCTTTTAGGAGGTCAAACACCCTTTAGAAAAAAATCGGTTTTTCTCTTTCGAAGCGAATATCGCCAGAACTGTAAGATAGAAAAAACTGATAGAAAAAAATTTTTACAATGAAAATTGAATGGCTTTAAGAGTACTTTAAAACTATAATAAAAAAAATTTTTTTATTATATTTCTAAAGTACTTTTAATGCCATTCAATTTTTATTCTGAAAACTTTCTATCTCTTACAGTTCCGACGATACAGTTCGCTTCGAAAGCGAAAGTTATTTCTTTAATCAAATGTGGTCGTAAGCGGAATTTTAGTCGTGTAGTTAATCGTGCATGAACTATAAGTATTAATGTAGAAAGAAGTTTCACTTCTCATTTTGTGAAAATTTCCGAGAGACAGAACTGATTACCGTAGATGTATAGAATACAGACTCAGGTATAACATTCCTGTGCATGCGTAGTAGTGAATACGGCCCCATGAGTGAATTTGGGCCAAAATTTGATTGGCTATTCCAGTATGCTATCGCCATTATACACAATGTTACACTTATTTTCTTATTTCATACCAACAACAGTTCAATGCGTATTACATCTCATCTCTCTTCCTCTTAATATCTATTTCTATCAATGTAGATTAATTTTTAATCTCGATTCAATTTATTCTTTATCTTTTTTTTATTTGAAAAAAGATAAAAAGTAAGTTAAACTGAGATTAATTTATATATTGATAGAAATAGGCAACTGTTGACACTACTGCGAAGTTTAACCATCGGTTAGCTTAATCTGAGATTGATGAAAGAGGCCCTAAAGTCTGTCACATTACGCATTGGAAACTGAGGATTGTGAATTAGAGATAAGAGTTCGACCTGTCAGATATCTAATTTTAATTTTATTCCGTTTTGTTCTAATTGGCTGAATTTTACAGGATTGTCACGAAACTAAAAATAAGAAAAATCAAGAAATTGTCATGGAAATCAGGAAAAAATCAGGGAATTTTACGAAACTTCCTGAAAAATTAAAATTCTTGACTTTTAATTTTGGAATACTATCAACTTAACAATTAAAAATGTAAGCAATGTCAGCGACATTAATAGTGATTTACATTTCTATGTTAAATGATCTCTTAACAAAATATTTAACGGTTTCCAAATCAGAACGAAAAAAAATTTTAAATAGATAATATTGAAAGTAAGAGAAAATCATGAAATTTTGTTTGGAAATCAAGGAAAAGTTATGGAATTTTTGGATGAGGAATTTGTGACAACTCTGTTCTAATCTTCAATTCACAATCCTCAATCTCCAATACATAGTGTAACACGGGTTTAGTGCGTGACGCCACTATTGGCGGTACCCCTTATCACTAGTAATCTCCAAGCACGCTGTTGCATCAAATTTGAGTGAACATAACTTGTGAATACGATAGCAACTTACAATAGAAATGTAATAAAACGCTCAATATAAGATGCGATTTAATATACCGCTCGATTTACTTTATAGATTATTTTGATAATTAATTTGAGATGTCTTGTATTGCCTTTATTTATAATTAATCGACACAATTTTGTATTTGATCCAACGACAAAATCCATTTATAGTTTTCTCTCTCTTTCATGTCTTCCTCTTTCTTTCTATCTCGGCATGAGTGTATGTATATCACATCTCTTTATAGACCCTCTATCAAAAATTCCTTCGTTCTTTAAAAGCATTCTCGCGTGTCTTACGCACGTACACATGCGTAAAGCAGATCGATTACGTCGCCCTTCCTTATTTAGTGCCCTCGTGAAACGATTCACGAGTCGCTCGTAAATTTGGCAAAATGCTCTACTTGCTAGATGTTCATTTTGACGCGTTCCACTAAACTGATGTCGCGTCGACATCCTATCCCTCTCTTTAGACACAATGAAATTCACGTGCTGCCGAAGTATAGAGTCGACCCTTCCTACTCCACGAAGAAATTTCGGGGATTCGTCGTGGCTCTTTTACCTCGACATTTCCCTCTCTCGAACTTGACATTCGCCTTTTCATCATGGCTGCTCTCGATGCGCCGATTCGTTTTGATCGTTCTTCCATTAAAACAGTTTCCTAGTCGTATTCTGATATACACACCCTTCCTTTGAAGTATGCCTACGTTCTCGAACCTTTAAACGTATCATTGGACGATTACCATAGAAAAATAAGTTTCGAATAAATTTTACAAACGTTTGTATAAATAAAACTTTTTTTTAGAACTTATATATTTATTATTAGATAGATATAGTTTGCTGTCCATTTATTATTTTAACACTTAAATGAATTAATTTTATATATTAAATATTAATATATATATATATAACATATTAAACATTGATATGTATAACTTTATTTCGATTCATTGAAATAAATACAAAGTTTGTTGATGTACATTTAAATATTTAGAAACCCATTGAACTAGAAAACGTATTTCACCGGTATATAGTCTGGTCGTAATTTCTCTTGGAGAAAACTTTGTTCATTTCGTAGTGACCGCCTAGCTGTTCGCGAATACGCTTTACTCAACGACGTGCGAGACGTATGGTCATTTGCGGCGCGGGTCGAATTTCGTCCCCTTTCGTATCACGAAAGTTGGAGCAAATTTCTCGTGCAAACTACAAAGACTCGGTCAATGTTTCGTGCCGTGTCGGTCAGACCTTTCAAGATTGACGTTTATTTTCTCGTTGACGCCGTTTCCGATCGTTTTGATCGGTCATCCTTAAAAAATAGTCACTCTTTCGCACACACATGCACACACACATACGTGCACATACACAGTAGCTCTTTCAATCGGTTCTCTCTCGGTCACGGTATCCCTCAGCGGAAGACCACTTTGACGTTATCTTGCTCGAGCTAGGGTTATCTCGTGAAAGCGGCTTTGAAGGCTCGCGCGTAAATAGGCACCTCGAATAAATGATGATGCTGGAATAGGACAGAGGAAGATTAGACGGGGAGGAGGAGGCCGCATTACGAAGATATCGCTTCTTCTTCCTTTGTATGGTAAAGTAGCGTCATGGCATCTAGGGGAAAATCTTCGTACGGTCGACCAAAAATGGAAAAGGATGGCTTATCAGCCATCCAGCGCAAAGCAGCGCGAAAGAAGAGAAAGTAATGGAGTGACGAGAATGATTAATTTGAATAACTTGAATGATAGATGTGATACTGTGATTGAAATTCAGTCTTCTTCTTCTGTTTTGTATTGTTATTATTATCGGTATCAAATAGAAAATTCACGAGATTGTGTGTGTTGGTGCTTAGGTGTAATTATCTGGAAAATTAAATAAAAGCTGAATTAACGGTAAACTGGAGCTCTCGTTGCATCGACGAGAGAGATTGCGGCACCGGGGAATTCTATTAATTATTAATTGACAAGTTTGTGTTCCGTCATAGAAAAGAGGGTGAAGGTAGATGAAAACTTTCGACCAACTTATTGGCTGTAATTGCGATTTATAAGTTGTCGATGATGAGGGTTTTCTCCCCTTCAGTCTTCACGATTTGTCTTCTTCTTTCTGTTTCATTCTTCGTGAGCGATTCACTCCGCTGACTCGTTCCGTTACTCCTGAATGCTTTCCTGATCGGAAAGTCGACCGTGTCATCCGATCACAAGGAAGCGCGTAGAATTTCCTTAAAAAATGTCAAGGGCGTGCGCAATACTTGTCGAAGAAGTGCAATATGATCTGGTTTCAACCTTGTTCGCGTGATAGGTAAGGTAAATCTCGCGGAAAGATCGCATAGCCACGGTTACAAGTATGAGTGCAGGCAGGCATCTATTATTATGCATCGCGATTGAGTTCAAAAGTTTACTTGGCGTTACGAGAACAGCAGTATGAACACGTGATGACGGAATGATGTCGATATCAGATATCATGATTCGATACGACGTTAGCATAAATTAACAGTATAGTTATGTACGCAGCAAGAAATACTATACGGTAAATACTATACTTAAAAAAAATCCGATGTTCATATTGTAATATCGTACCTTAGACATTACTGATTTTACGAAAGTAGATAAATTTAATTTTTATGTGGAAATAATGAAATTTTAACACGACGACTGCTATATAATAACGATATACCGAGTCGATATTTTATAACAGATTCTATATCGTTTATACGTAACACTCCGTAACAGCGCTTAAAAATATTATGGCTCGATAAAGATCGCTTCGAGCATAATTTTGCAGTTATGCTCTTCGATAAACTTCCGTCGACTTATCGCCTCGTAAATATTACTCCGGTGAGTTTCGACCGAATTCAGTTGGCAGTCGACGTGTTAAGCGTACAGGTTTTACTCGTCAGAGTCGCTTTAATTCTGCCGCGTAAATTTGCAGAAATTCGTCCGAAATTATCTCCACTTGCGGCACTCGATGAACCGCAAAGTGCTGCGGACGCATAACTTTCGAAAGTGAAGTTTCGCGAATTTCCTGCCGCCATTGGCGCAGCTCTTGTAACCACCGGAAAACGAGGTGG